TTAATTAGGAAGGAGAAGAGAAAATGGATGTCCACAAATGTTTGAGGACTCTATTCAGAACAAAACTTACAACTACTACATATTTCTTGCATTTCTGTTTCTTAATAATTAATTTGGATTTCATTTAAATGTTTATTGTGCCATATATAAATTCTAAAGGAAAGTTTATAATTCAGTGCCTTATTTATATTTGTACTGTGGTATATCCATCACCAACATTCATATTCAGAAATTTTTCATCTTCCCAACTGAAACTGCCTACCCATTATTAAAAACATTCCCATTTTTTCTCACCCTCAACACTGGCTACCACAATTGTATCAAATATGATGAGAATTTTCAAGCCATTATACTTCAAAATAAAGTGACTGAGGATTCAGAATTTAGAGCTCTATACATTTAGCTTTTTTAACTTTTTTCATATATGTTTCCAATATATAAAAGTTATATTCATCTTGGGAATTGGTACATATATATATATGTCATATTTTAAGTGATTTTAATTCCCCTTCCCCTCCTAATCATTCCCTTTCTTGCCATTCCCAGGTCTCCTTCCCATGTCTACAAAGTCCACTTCCCTCTTTTCTGTCATTTCTCTTTTATTTTGCTCTTTGAGTCCTTAATATTTTGGATATCTTATATGATCCTACATTAAACTCCTTGTCTCAGGCTAGAAATTAGACTGTTCTGTTTTAAGCCTTTTTGGGGTAATGTTTAATGTTCTTGTTTCTCAGGCTATAGATGAAGAATTCAGCATAGTAGTGACCATGTTGTAGTGACTGAAGCCACCAAACCTTTTATGGAAATTGTGACAGATCTGAGTCAAGCTACACAGAAATATATGTTCCATAAAATGAGCAAAATACTGACATGTGAGACCTACAGGTAAAGAAGTTTTATACTTCCCCCCGAATATGGAATTCATAGGATGGAAGAAATAATAAGATAAAACTACCCAAGAAGGAAAAAAAATAAACCAAATATATATGACCAGTGAAATACATGACCATGTTATGGGGTAGTTGTCAAAATATTAAGAATTAAGAACTTGTATAGGATCCCAGAAGCAAATGGATAATTCTACATCCTTGAAGTAGGTAAATTACGTAGCAAAAAACAGTACAGCAGAGAGTCCAAAAGACTAAGTAAAATGCACAACAAAACAAAGCCAAAGAGGGGAGGATTCATGGGTGTGCACTTCAGGGGTTACAGATGACCATGTGCCTGTCATAAGACTTTGCAGTCAGAACCAGGTTATCCATACTTCCAGAAAAGACAAAAATAGGATCTGTATCAAGTACCACATGTAGAGCATGATCCTACTGT